CTGAGTTTGTTTACATTCAGTCATAAAATAGTCCCAAGGATTACACACGTACACGTGAGTTTGTAAACAAAATTTATTTTGTGTTTATAAGTATGTCCTTTGTCTTTTCTTCTTCTTTTTTTTTTATTTCATAATTCAGAAGTGACAATTTTTTAATTTGGCTTCCACTTACTGTGATTATGCAGCTCTATATATATACTATAGGGGCCTATGGATATCGTCTTTATATCTAAGTGCATTCGGACTAACGTAAGTTGTGTTTCTTCCCTTAACATTCAACTTATAAGCTCTGCTTTGAAAGCATTTGAGGTATCTATGATAATTAATTTTTAATTAATAAGTATAAATTTACTTTTTTAAATGCTTTTCCTTATCAAATGTAAGAGATACCCTCTGAAAAACGACAAAAACCCATGCATAGAACAGCTGTGCTGTCTTTCTTACACTTTAAAATATATAATATATTGATCATAAAACCTCAAATTAGTAAAATTTGCTTACAAAATAGTTGAAAATTATGTACTTTCTTTTGTTACATCTCTGGAGTAATCATTTTCTCAGAAATAAAGGTATAAAATGCAAAACAAACACAAGTATCCATCGTATTGCTTGTCAATTTCAACAACTTCCGTCGAGTTTTGCTGACGTCAATTGCTCTCTTTGACGTCCGCGCTACATTAGGTATAAATAGAGCCGACTCTCAATCATTGCCTCATATCACAGCTGGCACCATGCGAAAGCAGATATTGATTTGTGGCCACAGCTTTGTTAGAAGACTGAAAGACTGGATGAGGGTCAACGGCAAGGACATGCCACTGAGTAATGCTGATGTGCATCTCCATGGAGTTGGGGGAAGAACTGTTCCGCAGGTCTACCACCTGGATATGGAGTTGGTAAGGAGGAAACGTCCTGATGTTATTTTGCTTCAGCTGGGGGGAAATGACATCAATGACCAGACCCGAGCCACTGATGTCCTGGTGAAGCTGAAGAGGCTGATTACCGTGTTGCGAGAGAAGCATCCTGATTCTACCATCATTGTTGCCTCCATTTTCTCTCGGCAGCGCCCGAGGGGCCTTTCTCAGCGATCTTATGATCGCAAGAAGAAAGGTGTCAACAAGTTCCTTTTTAAAGAATTTGGTGCTTTTGAGCAGGGGAAGAAGGTATTCTTCTTTCCTCACAAATTCTTTAAAAGCAACTTGTTTGACAAGGATGGTGTGCATTTAAATGATCGTGGGAACAGATGCTTCTACCACAGCATTCTCTCAGCCCTTCGGCGAGTCCTGTGATGAGCAGCCTGTCCTCTCTCCATGGTTTTGTACACAGATTACCTTTGGCGGTCAGCTGTCCTCTTCCAGTCAACAGTCAAAACGGCCTTTTTCAAGGCCAAAAAATGTTTCGAAAAGATGCCTCTAAAGCAGTGCGATATAGAAACGTTGTGTGTATATTTGTTTACATTTTTTTTGTTATTTCACAAAATTTATTTTGCAATATATATACTTTTTTTAAAACTTGTTTTCGAAAAGATACCTCTAAAACAGTCCCATATACACTCTGATTAAATTCAAACCTTTACTAGCTCCTTTTTTATTTTGTTTGTTGCATGAATGAAAAGGAGCTAGAGAAGGTTTGATTTTAATCAGACTGTCTGATATGAAATGTTGTGTCACTTGTGTGTTATATTAGTTTACTTTAAAGTAAAGTAATTATATTGCAAAATAAATTTTGTAAATACCTTAATAAAGGTAATTAAAAAAATTATCTTGCAATAATTTTATTTTACTTGTTTTGAAAAGATGCCTCTAAAACAGTGCAATATAGAAACATTGTGTGTTATGTCAGTTTATTTTTTGTTTTTTGTTGTAATTTTACAATTGAAAATTTATTTTGCAAGATTATTTTTTTTTAATTTGTTTCGAGAAGATGCCTCTAAATCAGCACATTAAGGAAACATTGTGTGTTATGAATTTTTTAAAGTAATTATTATTATTATTATTATTTTTTTTTTATTTTTTTTATTTTTTTTTATAATTTTTCAAAATAAACTTAGTATTATTTTTTATTATAATTTTTCAAAATATGTTTTTAATTAGAAGATAATTTGTTTTACTCTGCTCCTATACTCTTCTAGAATAAATTAATATGTCCATATGAACTCTGGGATTGTTTTTGGGCATATTTACTACAGATATTGATAATTAGTATTAATTTTTCCCCAAGAGAAAACTAATTTCCCCGGAATATCCCATTTTACCCTGTTGATAACAAAAAAAAATTCCCTTTACAATGAATTAATAAAAATTGGAAAAAATTTAAGTAAAAAAATTTAGAGGATGTGAAAAATGGTTGACTTTGATATTTAATGCACTCTGACTTGTCACAATGCTAAAATTTACCCCTCCCCCTCCCCTAGCATGGCTTGCCTGCACTCTCTTTATGGAGTGCCTTATTAAAATATATTCAAACATTTCAATTATAATTGCACAATCATAACCTCAGGTGCCTGTTAAACAAGTACAATGATTTAAAAAAGCTTAGTCCAAACTACATTTGGAATGTAAATATAAAAATATATATGTATGTATTTTTCATATTTACATTTCAAAGGGTAGTTTGCTTTAATAGAAAAGGTTTGTGGAATACACATACTCCATTCAAAAAACTATAACAAGGACAAGGAGACAAAATGTATGTTTTTTTTTTGTTGTTGACATTATACTCTCAAAATTTATGCTCACACAGAACAGTAGCTGTTGCATTGACTCTTCCATGAATTGTAAGGTTTTCAAAGGAGAAATCAAGGATTTAAAAATCTAAAACACAGTTGCAGACACATAAATAATTCAAAAAAAAATATCTCAATCACACTGGTTTTTTTTATTGTATTCTCATAATTGTGACGGTTTTCTACACATAGTTTATTATTTATATTATAATTATTTTTGGCACACACCTTGCAGTACGGAGACTACCTCTTAAAAATGATTTAAATGTTTAGTCAATCAGAATATGCTCAAATATTGTACTAAGACTAGATCAAGTAAGCTTTCTTCTTTTCCTTAAGGGGGTCAATTTTCAGTGTTGTTTTTTTTTTCTTAAGAAGTTATTTTTGGAAAACTAATCTTTTTAAAAGAAGAAGTGTTGCATTGTATTTTGTATTTTGATGGAAATATCCAAATTTTAAAGAGGACATGGATTCCTTGTTTTCTCCTTGACACACCAGAAAATTAAATATCTATTTTTCAACATTTTATCTACAAATTTATCTTCTTTCAAATATTTAATTTATCTGATGTATTTCATAAATATAATAGTGTATATCAGGTATCTTCTTTGTATTCCACATACATGTATATACACACACACACCATTTACAGCCGTATGTGTTACCATTCTTACTATGTTGACCTGCAAATAGAAAAGCCTTAAAAAACTAAAATATACTTTAGAATTTATGAGAATTTTTCTTAATATATTTTCAATATGTATCTTGTCATCTAAAAATATTTTTCAAATTCCCCAAGACCCGCATGGCACGGCAGACATTTTTTTTCTCTAAATCAAAGTTTTCCCATTTTTGTATGTAAATTTAATTTAAAGTAACCTAAATTACTATGTGTTATGAATCAAATTAAAGAACCATAATCTTGTCTATTCTGCCATGAGAGTTTCTGCCGTTGAATTACAAACTATTTGCACCAATGAATTAAACATGTACTGAAAACTAAAGATGTCTCAACTTCCAAATCACACAATGCATAGGGAACAAGTTATAATTTCTTCTCAGATTTTTTTTTCAGTCACATTTACTTTATTTTGAGCCTGTTTAGAAAGACTTATGGTAAAACCCATCCTTTAGTAAATATATATAAAAGTCACTCAATGTAGCAAAAGATGATGTACATGTATCTGTACTCCCAAAATTGAACATTTGTAGGTGGAATAAAATGTCACCTTATCCATATGGGCCAAACCAATGACCTTTTACTTGTAGTACTATATGTACTCATCATTTGCAATTTACCTACAACCTTGACTTTGACCGAATATAACTCAAGCTATATATAGACAATAATATCATGAATATGATATGGTAAAGTTCAGCAAACAGACAGACAGACAAAGTGTACCCTTAAGTAATAAGTAAGTACTTATATAACTCAAGCTAAAGACTACAATTTCATGAATATGATATGGTAAAATTCAGCAAACAGACAGACAGACAAAGTGAACCCTTAAGTAATAAGTAGGTGCATTGATTTTTCACAATAACTGTCCGGGCGTCATCAGTTGGGAAACAGTTAAAGTGAGCCAAGAAACTAAAAATATATTTTTTTTTTATTTTCCTAACATTTTATACCAAAGTGTATGTTACAGTTAAACTTTACTATCTCAAACACTTATAATTTAAATAACATGAAATTATGTCAAAGTCATTTAAAAGGCTCAACTACTTTTCCTTTGGTTAAATTGAGTTTGAGATAATGAGGTTTGACTGTTAATCAAACATAATTATATACAAATTTAGTAACAACAATAAAAGCATACCAATGTACATGTCTAATAGTAGGAACAATATCCTTTTTTTCTTGACAAATAATTGAAGGTAAAAAAATACTTACAGAATGAAATACTGGTTTATGTTCTTAAATACCTGTCCTTTACATAAGTTTAATTTATGCATCCTCTGGAGTGGTTAGATATCTTCTGGGATAAAGATTATGAAGCTATTGACACTGGCTAAGGCATAAGCCTGTCTGCCATTGCCAGCCTACTACTGGACTGACATGATGTCCAAAGCAACATAAAACTCTACCCTTGGTGAACTGCATGAGCTGTAAGGATTCATCTGTTGGTTGTAAGGGTTAATTGTCTTCAAATCCTGAATCTTGATGTCCAAGCAGAAATGGTGTAGCTATTGACACTGGCTAAGGCATAAGCCTGTCTGCCATTGCCAGCCTACTACTGGACTGACATGATGTCAAAGCTACATAAATCTACTCTTATTCATGGTCAGGATCTCCATGGTCACCTGTTGGTAAATTGTTAAATCTGTTTATTATTTCATGGTATATAATGTGTTGTATCACTGTTTTAGTGTCAAAGTTTTGAATTTGTTACAAAATATGATTGAAAAGTCAGCATACCACTTGCAGTAAAGATAATTTGCTGAGGTTTCCCGTTTTGGATGACAGTAATCCTTCTGCCCAGCATTGATGGTGGAATCCTCATCCAAGATGGTTGTCCCAGTCCTCCCTCACCAACACTTAAATGAAGACATATAATCATTTACTGTACTTATTTGAAAAAAAAATATTTTTTTTGAAATATAGGTGTCTTATTTTTTCTATGAAAATTGACTTACGAAAACAAGTTTTGTTCCTCATTGTTTGAGAGCTGTATTGGTCTTTCTGGGGGAGGAACCAACCGCAGTGGTGGATTAGGTGCAACAGATCCATGGGATGTACCGGTATCTGTTGTCGTGGTTGCAGCTAATTCCTCTGTTGACCTCCCTGGTTGCTCTTGATCTCTGTTCATAAAAAATCTTAGGTATTTAGAAATGACTTTTTAAAACAATGAAATAAAAAATGGGCCTTTGCATCAACTTAACCTACAAGCCAAAAAATTATAATGCAACCCCCTCTCTGGTATGAATACACACTCATGTGAAATTTTATACAGATACCTGGTAGATGCAAGGATAAATTCTAGCTGACTCAGGTAGAAACACAGAGAGTATCTCAAGGGTAAAACAGTGCCTATTTCCTACCTAGCTTGTAACAAGAGTTTTAATTGGTTGGCAAGTCAAGTGTAAATTTCTATATGCACCCGACTTTGATCAGAGGTAAATAACATTACATCACAATGCATAGTTTCTCTATTTTAAAGTCATCAATGAATATGATGTAATGATACAATGTAGTACGTAATAATTTGAAATATCATCATTTAGCCTTAGATCTACAAAGAATGAAATAATTTTGTTATTCACGACAAACCAAGGGTGTACAGCCTTTGGTCTTGCAGTATTTGAAAAAAAATCCAATGCAAATCCCTGTATACTCTTGATTTGACCTCATAACTAAATATTTACATTTGCAAATGTTTTCCTTTATATAACACTACTGAAGGCAAGCGTTTTTATAACTGTGCAAATACAGGTATGGGGTCAAGAGGTCAAATGTGCATTTGGATAAACGTTCATAATTTCTCTGTGACGTCATAAAGGGTCGACGAGCGTTTAGTGGATTACATACATGCCGTTGGGTTTGAAAAATTAACGCATTTCACACGTTAAAAGTAACAATCAGGCAAATATAAAGTATGAATAAGTCACAAATGTAAATATAAGTAATAAGGTATCATTTTTTGAGTTTTATTGAGATGTAAAACGGGTTGGCACATGATCAAATCTTCCATAAAGCCCTTCAGGCTTTATGGGATTGGATCATGTGACCAACCCGTTATACATCTCAATAAAACTCAAAAAATGATACCTTATTTCTTAATTAACCTCCTCTCTTTTAGGCTAGGGTATAACTTCTAGATCATATTATGACAAGCAAAATTTTTGTAATGATGCCTTACTGTAAAAGCTCTTCATGTCATCCTCTGTTGGTTTCTTAAGGGGGGCTTTTCTCGGTCTGCCTTTCTTCTTCTGAGTGGCATGAAATCTGGGTTGCAGAATGTTGTTTGCATTCCCAGCAATTCTTTCAGTTGCTGCAAGTTCTCCTGCTGGTATGTCATCCTGGAAGCTCATGCAAGCTTTATTCCCTGAAATTAAACTTTCTAAAGATTTAACTATTGTTGATAATCTATATTTCTTAACTTGCGGATGTTTAACTTGATCACCCAACTCATTGAGAAGACCCTCTATACGTTGGAGTTGGATACTTGATGACTTTCTTTTTGGTTCAGCAGTTGAATTTGCAGGTTCTGTATATGAAAGCTGTAGATCATTTTCAAGACAATCATCCTCATGGGTTTCTCTGCTCCTGGAGAGAGAGTGAATCTTGTGAATATGTTTACAAATATGACCATTGTGGTAATCAGCACAGCTACATTTGTACATATGATAACATAGATTTATACAAGGCAAATTTTTACACTTAGTGTAGCAGTGTTCTTGAGAACAATCACTCAGTATGGCCTCTATGATGTAGTTTTCAGGACCAGATTCCAATGAAAACACAGAGTTTGTAATTTGTTTGACCTTTGTATTATCTATTTCTAAACCTTTACGATGCCTATCTGTTATACGTAAATCTTCATCTGAAGGATTATTATAAGAGATGCGTTCTAAATGTCTAATAAAGTGATCATTTTCTATCTTCAACAAGGTGTCCAATAACACATCTATTCTTCTGTTGCGCTTTCCTGAGAAGTAAATAGTTTTAAGCTGATTATGAAAGCTTTCTACAAACATATTGGTATTAACATTGCCATACTCAGTTCCTTTCCTATAGCACAATGACCATTTTTCAGGGCGATTAAAGTAATTATCATTTAAATACTTTAAGAAAGTGGGATTCAAGTTGTTAAGTTTGGAAACCAATGCATCTTTGTATTTAATAAAGTCATTTTCTGACTTTGCCTGCAATAAAGCACATAGGTAACAATACACCTCTGTCTTCTGCACATCATTTCTAAAATGATTATGGATATTTTTAATCCATGACCTTTGAATATGCCATGTACATAGAAAATGTTGCAAATCAGACCCATAGACTGACTTTGCAGCATTCCATCCTGCATTGTCATCATCAGTCATTATAACCTTGACTTTGGTTTCAGGGGATAGGTTTTTAACTGAAGATAGAAATAGAGACATTGTTGTTTCATCCTCTCTGTTTGAAATGCAAAATGCAACTGGATAAACTTTACGAAATTCATCAGGTACCATCAGAGTTATAAGCTTAAAAGAATAACTATTAGTTTTATGGGTTGAATCCATACATAAAATTCTACTTGCAAATGATTTATACATATTCAATTGTTCTTTGGTCATAATAGCTAAAATAAAGTCCTCTTTGTTCAGCCTCTTAGAAGGATCCTCGATTCCCTGTTGTTTAAAGATCAGGACAGGATTAAAAGACTCTTGTCGCAGGGCTTCCACCTTTAAAGAAGTTGAAATAGCATCATTACTATTTTGTATAATTGTCGGATCAGCAAGTTTTGTTTTCAAACTATGAATTTTCTTTCGGTCAATAAGATGGTAATATTTTAGATCATCTAAATTATCTCTGTTGGCTCTACCACTAAAATGTTCTCGTACTTTGTTTATTATACAGTTAATAGGAATTTTGAGGGAAAGCATATTTAGAATTTCTGACTTCAAACTATCCGGAATTGGTAAATATTTCGTTTGCTCGAATGACAGTGAATGAGTATGAGACTTTACATACTTTACCATAACTTTACCATCTTTCATCTCACAAACAGACATACGTGCAGGGCATAAATTATTGATCTGACAATGCCCTTTTTTATTCTTTCTGGATGTCTTGGGTTGAACGCCTTTTGCTCTGTGTTGTGAAACTGGCCCATTCCGATGACACACTAGGGAGTAGGTTTTTCCTCCTTTCTTATTTGCTTGTGGCCTTGACCTCCTCACAAACCTTGTATTAGATGACATTTCTTCTTTAGAACGAAAATCTGAAAAGAGAGCTAAACTTTCAAAGGTAAGATGTTCTACTTTTATGTCTGCATCATGTGCATTAAAAGCATGCTCCAAAAGTTGATCGATGGTTAGAAACTTCATTGCACAAGATGA